CAGAAGAAGAGAAAGAACAGAAAGAAAACAATGAAGGAAAAACAAAACAAAAGAAGATTAATCATAGACAAAAAGAAATACCTTCTACAATTCGGACCAAGAAAAAGGCAACTCAAATCTTCAAAATCCTTGGACTCCTGGTCCAATCTGATATTAATTGCATGTTCTCGTAGAGAACAAGTGAATAAAATCATTTTGGACCAACATCGTCCGCAGACTCTCGATTTTGACTTTTAGGGCTCAACTTGTGATTTAATATTCGAAGAGTCTCATTAGGATTCGAGGGTAGTGGGTTGGGTATCTGGGATGAGGAGGTCATGGTGGTCATTTGGTGTTGATTTGGTAGGAAAAGGGGTCGGCGTCGCCGGCAGGTGTGGTGGAAAATAGGGGCGGCGGGTAGGGTTTTGGAGGGGTCTCTGAGGTGGGAGTTGAAAGAGGCGAGATGGGGGGTAGGGTAGGGTTTGTACATATATATATTAAGACCTCCCCACTTCTGAACCGTCAGATCAACTAACCTCGACGGTCGAGATCAAAAGGCGAAACGACGTCGTTTCGGATGAAAGGGGACCGGACCGGGTTAAGACGCGGGTTTGGGCCGGGTTTTGGTACTTAACAATTGGGCCTGCGTTTCTTAATCAGATTTGGCCCAACAGATCTTTAAGAACAAATTCCTTTTCTCTTTTCTTTTTTCTATTATTCTTCTTTTTCTCTTTTTTTCCTATAATTAATTGAAATCCCAAATTAACTCCTAAATTGATCTAATCTTTAATATTAGGCTAATCATATACTATAATATTTACATAAAATTAATTACTCCTAAATTAAAAGAGAAAATTACTAATTTAAAGCTAAAAGGCTAAAAATGCAAAAGTAAGCCAATTTTTTGTAATTTTTCTCATTTTTATAAAACAACTAATTTGCTAATTAATCCTAAAATATAGAATTAAATTCTAAATACAAATGCCACGTATTTTTGTATTTTTTATTAGTTAAACAAAATTAACATGCATAGACAAATGCAAACAATTATCACAAAATGCTCAAAATTCCAAATAATGAAAAAAAGTTATTTTGTTTTGAATTTATGGGAGTAATTCATATATTGGGCAAAAATCACGTGCTCACAGGTACCTGGGCCACAGCTGCAACACTAAAAACATCGATAATGAAGGAGATAAGAGGTAAAACAAGAAGATTGAACCTTTAAGGTGAAGTACTACTTACGTTTCATTTTTCATTTCTAGGGAAATGGCATGTCTTCAGTAGGAATCAGGTCCGAACAAATCGGCCCATCCAACCTCGATCTCAAGCCTCGTCTATACTCGAGAACGGGGCCCTACTAGCCCGGCAAGCAAGTTTGATCAGCCCCCCTCGATAGAGTCGGGGACTGTAGAGGCGCATAAGGTGATCGAGTGTAAAGGGACATCCCTTGATTTTGCTTACGAATAATCAGAGGAGAATCGCTATTCTCCAAAAAGAAGGGTGGATCTGGCCAAATTCCACGTTATACCTCTTGCAGAAGGCAATGATGATGGGGTCTAAGGGACCCAACGTGAAGGGGTAAGTGTAAACACTTAGAAAACCCTCCACAAGGATAGTGATCGATTCCTCGGGCGAAGGTACCACCACATGCTTATTGATCCAGTTGCAATCCTCTTTAACCTTGGTGAGGAGATCATCGATATTGTGCATTTGTACCTCGAGACCGGCTCATATCGACCCGGTACCGATGAGGTCTTTTCAATCTTAAAATCGGCAACAGTAGGGTACCTTGCCAGAAAGAATTCCTCAGGATGAAGTTCTGTCGCAGCCCCGTCGCCAACGGGTCGTGATGAAGAGGCAGCTTCCTTTTGCGGTACAATCTTAGAAGTTTCGCCATTGTAGAAAAGAATAAAAGGGAATTAGGATGGTATGCGGTTTGCTAAAAGTTCAAGAAAATTTGGTGTAAAAGTTGCAAAGCAAAGGGATTTTTTGAAAAGAAACAAGAATAGGAAGAGTTGTGAACGTAAAGTTTGAATAAAAGAAGGTTAGATTAGCTTACTGGTGACGGTTCAGAACCCATAGTGGCCGATCAGCAACTGATAGAAATTTAATGCCTTGGTAACTAGACCGACGGGATATTTCGGTATCCATTTGTTGCTTACGTCATAGTCAGGTGTATTAGTGACATTCGTTGCTTATGTCGTGGCCCATCGAGATGGAATTCGGAAGTTCATATCATTTCTCGTCATCTTCTCTCCGAGAAACGAGGGGACTATCTGTATACGGTCAAAACCGGGCTTGCCTCTTGTGTGATTAATCTGGACTAGAATATGATAGGTTAAGGTTCGACCTCATATTATATCGAACTATGGTGCAAAATTAGACCGTCGAGCTCGTGACCTAGATACCGATCAAGATCGAGGGAAACTTACCGAGCCAAATAACGGAAAATTGAAATATGTGCAATCGGTCGAGGATCACGGTAGAAATCCCGGCACGTATCAGGAAGAGGCCGATTAATTAGCTAATCATGAGATTTCTTACCTCATATATAACTGTTTCAAGAGTAGGACTCCCCTACTATATAAATGGGGTCTGATCATTTGTAAAACACATCATTTTTATGCAACATAAAGCAATATGCTGTCATTTTCTAGCTTTTATTATCTTGTTACTCTGTTCATACGTCAGTTGAAACATCTTTGGTTCAAGGGTGACCAAAGGGCCAAGGCTATTCGATTCGTGTGATTTGCATTTATTCTTTTATCGTCAATTTCAATATTAATCTATTCTTTTAATTTGTATCGAGTTTTGGTTTAAAAGCTATTATGAATGCATCTCAAAAGAATGAAAACTTGTCGAAGAAAGTTTTGTACTTAATTGTATGTGACAACTAATTTGTTCATTTGTTATGTGACAAGTGACAACTAACACCGCTTACTTCTGCACACGCCACTGCTCATCATGGTAGCAAAATGTTCTTAGGCAAAGTAAATTAATGGAAATGCAGTCTTAATTAATTAATTACATGTAATATTTCGCAGGTTTGACTGTAGACTAAACCCCACAAGCTGGTAAAGTTTTGGTTTGTTCAAATATATGTCGGCTTTTGCCTCTTTTGTTGTTGCTGTGGCAGTCCCTCGCCTCACTTCTAAGACACTACGGCAACCGACTTTATTAACTATGTTGCTCCTGAATAGGATAGTAAAAGAAGAATATGAAAAACGTGGCTCTCATTTTGCTATCTTTAAAATGGTCAATATTCACTTCCCAAATTATTGGTAGAGAAGTGACAACTTATTGTAAACTTGTCTTGCTCTAACTTGCTGATAAAACAACAAAATTTCGCTTTTTAAGATTATTTATTTATGTCCTCATAATTCATATAGGTGATCAAGTAAAAAATACCTATGGACACCAAAATAACTCTTTACAATTTTCGGAAAATATTGTCTCCTACTAACTTTTTTTTTTTTTTAAAAAAAAAGGTGCCTCGTCACTACGGAGGTGACAGTTGGAAGGGCTCTAATTGAATTTTCTTTTTCTTATGAAAAAGTAAAGGGCTCCAATTGACTAGTGTCTAAATAGTTTCAGGAGTGAAATAAAACCTGGTTTTAGTCTAATTTTTTTTTCCTTTCTCTTTTCGAGTTATCTTTCTCTATTTATCTATTAAAGGCGAAGAATATCACTCTATCAAGAGTATGTTACTCAAATGGTCACTCAACTATCTGAAATTACCTGTTAAAATTCTCTTTCTTTCGTTTGTAACCGCAAAATTATTTAACTATGCCTATAGCACTCAGAAGGTCATTCAACCAAATTTCTCAAACTTTTGAACCTATATTACCCTCTAAATTATCAAACTTTTATTTTCTTTTTATTTTTTATTAACGTTTTAATATTATTATTTTTTAATTTATATTATGGACTTACCTATAGAAAAAATAAATTTTATTTATAAATTAAAAAATAAAAATAATATTTAAGCATATATTGTTAGAACAATACAATATTAAGCATAGTAAAAAATATAATTAGAACAATTTGTTCGTAATAATAATTTCGATATTAAAAAGGACAATTCAAAAACTTTATTTAACAATTGAGAATGAAAGAAAAAAAATTGTAAAATATATATTTCATGCACGTAATATAAAAAATAATTATTTAAAATAAAGATATTTTTATAATATACATTATATATTATTGAAAATTATACCGAATTATATTATTAATCCAGCATTATATAAACTAAAAAACTAATTTTTTATTTTATAAATAAAATATATTTTTCCTATAGACAAATAAATAATGTAGATTAAAAAGAGAAAACATTATAATATTTAAAAGTAAAAAAAAAATAATTTGGAGGGTAAAATAGGTATTTGACGATCAAAAGTTTGAGAAATTTGGTTGAGTGACCTTTTGAGTGTTATATGCATAGTTAAGTGACATTTATGGTACAAACGAAAGAAAGATGACTTTACTAGATAATTTTGGATAGTTAAGTAACCATAAGTAATGGACTCCTCTATCTATAACGAGAGCATAACTAAACATTATGGACGTATACTCCTCCTTTGTGACATTTTGAGCGACTTGAAAGAAAACGTCACAAGAAACATAATTTAAAGTACAATTGGTCATATTTCAATGATATGTAATTTTCAAGAAAAAATGGAAGATTTTAAGAGCCTATGTTCTGAACAGAGCGGAACCAGGATTTGAGGTTTGTGGGTTCGGAATTCTAGTTCGTTTATATTATTGGGTTTTAATTTAACAATATATACATATTCAATAAAAAGGTTTAAGACAAATACAGGGTTTTGATCATAGTTACTGAATTCGGCCGAACCCGCAGATCCGGTGCTAGCTCCGCCTCTGGTTCTGAAGACAGCCAAGTTAGTAGAGGATATACAAGAAGTTTTGTGACAAAATTTCCAGTTCTTGTACAAGAAGAATCTGCTATATACTTCATGTTATTACTTTGTGGAAGACCACTCAAATATCAACTGATATCAAATCTAAAGTAGGAGGTTATAGATCATAGAACATAAACACCTTAAGCAAAATCTTACAAGCACCAACATTGCATATTGGGATTAATGCTTTCCAAGAAGGAAGCTTCACTGATTGATTAAGTGAATACACTATGGAGGAACCTTATTTTTTCTCAAACCATTTAAAAAGGGGAAGGAATTGGCTAGTGACAAAATGACAAGAAAACTAAAGGTTCCACCCACCAAGCTTGCTACTAAAACTAACAACTCTACTTCCATGCACAAGAAGCAACCAAATCTCTGTTCATCCAACCGAGGTACAAAGCTCCATCTCTTTCTTCAAGCCTATATTTGTCACAGTAGTTTTCTACCAATGCTTTGATAGTAGAATTCACCAATGAACTCAAAGGATATGGGCTGAAACCAGCCATTCTAAACCGTGACTTCCACTTACCAAGAAGCTCATGCCGCTCCACCCTCTCAATTCCCTCGCAGGCGATGATGTTAACAATATCTTTTGCCAAACAATGCTGCTCAACATTGATGCGCTCCTTATGCGCCCTTGGGAGAGTCGCATCAATTGATTCAAANGGAGTGTCGCATCAATTGATTCAAACATGGCAGTATAGTAATCTAACGTTTCAAGGAATCGAGGAAAGAAAGCTGCAGTGTTTGTATTAGATTCTTGCTCAACAAGAGTAACCACCTTGGGATTCAAGCTCTTAACCAGCCGTATCAGTCGATCCCGATGATTTTCGGTGCTCACACTTTCGTCTGGCATGTGATGCAACACAAATGCAAAATTTACTGCCAGTGCTTCGCCAGGTCGAATTCCAAGGTTTTCTAGCTGAACATCAGAAGTAGATATGGCGGCAGCATGAAACTCAAAAGGCACCTTGAAGGACTCAGCAAGTGTAGAAAGCCTCTTGCCAACAATATTAAGCCCTCCTCCACGCGCATAGGCTGATTTGGAATCATCAATACCCGTTATGCGGATATGAGGTGGACCTCCAGGCCGAGCTGCAAAAGCTTGGATTAGAGTAACCCACTGACTCCCTTGAGAAATTTGGAAATCAATGATATGAACTCTTTGTTCATCCTTCATTGCTTCTGCAATGGCACCATTTGCCGACATGTATCCAAATTTGAAGTAGGGGCAAACTTCATGAAGAATATGCATATATGAAAGCAGTTCAAAACTAGCTGGTTCTTTGCATCTTTGGGATTTGTATATGGAACTTCCTGATGCCGCTAACCTTGCTACAAGGCCTTCAAGGATGTATGCTCCGAGTCGCTGAATTGGTTCCCCTGACACTGACACCATTTGACGCAACTCTGATATCAACCACTGAGCTGTAAGCAAATCACCATCTGATTCTGCTTTTGCACACGCAATGAGCACATGTTTTAAATCCCCTCTAGGTATCGCCTCCAACATTTGTCTCCAACAGCCAATTTCTGGGGAGGTCATACAGCTCGGCAGGGAATTATCACAACTATCCAGAACGTCTGAATTAGGT